ATTGTCGCCGCCACAAAAAGCGATCAGAGCGACACGATGGTTTTGATGACACGCGTTTGTTTTAAAAAATATGGGCATCGCTCTTAGGGTGTCCGATAACCAAACAACCTTTAAGAGCGAGGTTTTCGTAAATAGGTTCTAGAGTCGCCACCAATGTTTTTACCATAAACATTGGGAACAGAAAAAAGAAGGCATTGGTTTAAGAAAAACCAACTTTGGTCATTATAACCAGAGTTGGGCAAGGGAGTTAGTTACGTGTGGGGAAGGTATTAATACCCCACAACGCCCCTTTCGGGTTCCCTATGATGGAATATTCTTAAAATAAAGACAATAAAATTATGTTTCTACCCTATTTATTACACAATATTAAAAATGATTATCTACATGATCCTATCTCTATTGTATATAGGAAAGCAATAAATAAAGCAATAAAAGAGAAGAGTAGTGAAAAGAACCTCCGAAGCAAGCTTTTATAAAAATCTTCAACTCTGAGGATGCTTTTTGGCTATCATCTCGCACTATAGGGACTCTCCTCTCCCGAATACAAGAAAAACTTTAAACTATCGAATGTCGGATATCTCAAAAAGAGATTTCCTTAACTGATTGTTACCTTATAGACAATCAGAAAGATCATTTGAGTACTAGAAGTTTAGAGAGAAGTGACTATGAGTCAAGGTGTGTGTAAAAGCTGCAAATGAAGCCCCTATTTATAGTTTTCGCAGTGTCAGGACGTCGGGACGACCATCCCAACTCCTATCAAGTGGGATGGTCGTCCCAAGTGCAGAAATGGGTTGGGATGACCGTCTATACTTTGGGACGACCGTCCCAAGTGCAGAAATGGGTTGGGACGTGCGTCTGGCTTTTGGGACGTGCGTCTCAGCTTGAAAATTCACTTTGGGACGACCATTTGGAATGTGGGATGGCCATCCCAAGTGTTTTTTCACATTTTCACCTTTTATTTCTTCAGAAGAGCTCTCGTTTCCTTGGACGGAAGCTGGTTGATGATGCTAGATGCCCAATGGAGCTTTACCCATCTTCTGATCTTTATTGAGAAGTCGAGCAAGATTTGAGGTCTACAATGATCCAATAATATCTTCATCACTTTCAGCATGGGTAGCCCAAAGGTATATGACACTCCTTTTTCATACCCTACATCCCTTTTTGAAGAGGTAAATGTTTGACTTGCGGGTTTGATTGACTTTGGACAACCCATAGGGGATCTCACCTCCTTTTCATGTCCTCCGCACCCTTGAAAGGAGTTTTTGATGAATTTAGAGAGGGAGGGCATCTTATGGTCGAAAATTGCATGGCCCATAGCTTATAGGTCAAATCATGTCCCCCCTTTTGTTATTCCCTCCATGTCCCCTCTCCCAAAGCTTATAAATAGAAGACTTCCCCTCTTGCATTTAGATGAAGATTAATGAAAAGTTTATGAAAGCACTTTGAGTGTTGTTATTCTCTTTGAGTCTTATCTCGAACTTTGGTTCAAGTGGCGACAATCTTACTTATCTAGAGTAGTTTCCTCCCTCTAGTGGCATGCTACTACCACCACCCTTTCCCTACTTACTAAGTATAAATTGGCTAGTAGATAATATGTTTGGCTATGAGGTTCTTAATTTATTAGATGTGCCCTAAAACTATAATCAAATAGAATGTACCTACTTGATGAAGAAAAAAATTACCTTCATTACAGAGGGAACTAACTTTTGCTTATGGCATTCAAATTAAAAAATCTTGGTGTAACATATCAAAGGTTGATGGACAAAATATTTAAAGACTTGATAGATGATTTAATGGAAGTTTAGGTAGATAACATGGTTTTTAAATCTAAAAAAAAACTAGTTGTCACTCGTAACATTTTTTTAAAAACTCTTTGTCGAGGTTAGGAACATAGACTCAACCTAAAAAAGTGTGTATTTAGGATAAGTGGAGGAAAATGATTAAGATTCATGATTACACAAAAAGAATAAAAGAAAAACATGTGACTATCCTAGCCACATAAAGTCATTATAAAAGAAATACAAAGATTAAACAGAAAATTAATCTCACTAACCTAGTTCAATCAGAAGTTCGTCGAGAAGACAAAACAATATTTTAAATTGTTAAAAACAACTTAAAATCACCTATTAAACTCTCCAGACCTTATCAGTAGACTTTGAGGAAAATTTCTATTTTATTGTTGATTCCCATCCATCTCTATTTTTGTTGTTATACTTTTTATTCTTTATAATTAACTAATGATGACAATAACTCTTTTACTTTTTAAAACGTATTTTAGAATTAATATTTTGTTCTTTTAATTTTTAGTTTTATTAAAAGTAAAACATTTATTAAGTTATTTTGCTAAGAAAAGTAATACCTTTTAGGCTAAGAAAAGAAACTAAATTAGAAGATAAAAACAACAAATAACATTACACATAACAAATAATATTTATTTTTATTTATTTAATTATCTAGATATTGTTGTTATTTTATTTATTTATTCAAAAATAGTAAAAAAATTATTAAACTCTTTTGCTAACAAAAGTGAATATACTTTTAGGAACAAAACAGTAACACTTCAATGTTCTATATGAATGTTAACTTTAATCATAATTTGTCACAAGCATACATAGACATGTGTCTTATTTTTTACATTGGATAGTTACTTATGATTAGAAGGTTCTTTTAACATTTCATTAATTGATATTAAACATAATGTAAATAATATTCAATATCATTGTCATGTTAATTTTTTTAAATCTTGTTTACTTTAATAATGTTCTCTTAATTAGATAATGCACGTTTTAGGTGTGAACAGGATTGCATTTTCAATTCTTCTTTTTATTCTTATTTTTTTCTTCTTTTACATAAATATTTTATTATTTTTAATTATAGTTTCTCATTCTTCTCCTTAATATTTCTAGAACTACTTTTTATTGTTCTTTCTAGAATTTTTTTTTTTTAACTAATACAATTTCAAACTTTACCTCTTTTAAATCACTGGTCCTCGTATGTTAAGAAACAAACTAAATTTGTACATTCCTCCTTTCAAAATGATCTTTGACTTATTGATCTTTCATTTGCTTGAGAAGATTAATATGATTTTTTTATCCTCTGACTTATTTTTCTTTTTAAAATAACATTAATAACAAATTTAATAAATTATCTAAAAAAATAAAATATAATAAAATATTTTATATTTTTAATTATGAAATCCAATAGGAAAAGAATTACATAGTTATCTTAATTTTAAATATTTATTATTTTACAATTTTAAATTTATTTTAAATATTTATAATGTTTAATACTAAAAAACAATTTGAGTTTCAATAAATATCTTTATTTTTTGATATTGATCTAAATGGTATTCATTTTTCAATCATACATACCATTTAACAAACAAATTTTAGTTAAAATAATTTTTTTTACAATGGTAAGTATAATCAATATTTTTTAACATGTACATTAAGCATTTTAGCATAACAAAGAAAAGTCTTATTTTCCTCACATTCTTAAAATTGTTATAACATTATAAAGCATGGCAGAGAAAAAGAGTATGTACAGGTTCTTTGGTCTGGCTGGCTAGTTATAACATTCAAGTCTGAACAATATTTTGTTACTTTTGAGGTGCTCTTTTTCCTCTCACCTGTCTTCTCTCACCCTGTGCTTTTTCCCAAGAGCTGTAACCCTTCCCCACTCTCCCTTCAAAACAAACCTAGCAGACAATGTTGTCATAACCCTACTTCTCTTATCTTTTTACCTATTTCCCATGTTTTTCTTATATTTACTTTTTAAACGCACATTTTAACTTATTATTATTAGTTAATTAAAAATCAAAGTCATGTGTAATATTTCTTTGAATGTAATTGTTCAAAAAAATAATTAATTGACAATATTAAAAAATTAAATATATTTTAATTAAATTCTTAAATAATTTAAAAACCCAAAATACAATAAAACCATGGGGAAATTATAATAAATTTGTTAAGGTTTTCACACTAAAAAATTTTCAATTTATAAAAAAAAATATAATCACATCTTACAAGATAGTATACAATTTTTTTTTTAATTTTAATAATTTTATTAAATTTATATATTAGACGAATACAAATCTCAATTATAATAATAATAAAATATAAAATATAATTAATAAAACTATTAAAAAATCAATCTTTAAATTAAATTGATAATTTATCTTCATTCAATTCATATGTTAAATAAATTATTATATTTAAAAAATCAAATTAAATATTATTAAATTATTTTATTTAAATTTAAATTAACTTTACTAAAAAAATTTCATATAGAACCAAACTAAATTTAAAAAAAAAAATACAATCCACAACATAATTGAATCATTAACTATCAATATTTAATGTACATGCCCATCTACAAAGTGGAAAGATCTCACAGTAATAGATATCAAAATTATTGATAATAAGATACGAAGTGTACTTTCTATAACATAAAACTATTTTTGTTTTCTATATAACAATGGAGTGTTGAGATATAAAAAAAGTCCAGAAGTCCTGTCATTAAGATAGCAACGTCTATTATCTTAATTAAACAAAATAAAGAATTATATGTCACTTAATTAAACAAACATAGAAGAGGAATGTTTGCTTAAAATTCAGGAAAATATGAATATTAAAAGAAAAAAAATCTCAAGAGACATCATCTGAAACCATAATTTTGACTGCAACATGATTTTTTCAAGATAAATGACAACTACACTACAGTCTAAATTAAAGGTGCATTTATTTACAGCGTCAAAAATCAAACCGCTGCCACAATTTATAATCTCTTAAAAGATAAAGGTAATTTTCCTAAAATAATATTCCACTTTAGTTATATATAAAGGATTTTGCAGGAAATATTATAAAGGAAGGTAAACAGGCAGAGCACTTTGCAAAAGTCTTACAAACCTGATCTGCCCATGTCCAAAGTTTTATTAGCCGACCAAACCAAAAGCAACACAAACAAAACTCACTACCCTCTCACTCACTCTATCTCTCTCCATGGACTTGCAGTTGAAGCAATGGAGAAACCAGCATGAATCAGAGCAACAACTACATTCCCCAAACATGCCAAAATTTCTCCCTCAACACCCTCCACCACCTGCCTCTGCGGCACTCCCTCTCTTTCTACCTCAACCCAACACCGTAGTCAGCACCCTGCCACGGTTTTTTGATTCCTCCTTACCTTCTGCACCTCCCAGATTTCCCAGTAAGATTTATCACATTCTCTTTTGTTCTTGTTGCTAAAGAAACAGACTTTGATTGATTGGCTTATAGTATTTGTATGCTTACTTTTCAAGGGCTGTTTCTTTTTGTTGTCTCATTTGGTGGGTTCTGTCATGTCTCATCAGGGATGGAGAGTTGTTTCAGCTTTGCACAATGGCAAGAGCTTGAGTTGCAGGGTCTGATATTCAGGTACATGCTGGCCGGTGCTCCTGTTCCTCCTCAGCTGCTTCAACCAATCAAGAAAAGTTTCCTTCATTCCCCTCCCCCTTTCCTTCAACATTATCACCCTGCATGTAATTTCTTACCCCATTTTCATTCCAGTTCTAAATTTTCCCTTTTGATAATATAAAACGGCCATTTTTAAATTGTAGTCAATGAAGTAAATGACCCGTTAATGTTTTACCACATTTATTATTTATTTTGTTATCTGTGCACCAGGAACATAACATAAATGCAGCTTAATGATAGTTTTCTGTTTTCATTTTTTTTTTTTAACTCATTCTGTTTTTCAATAAGGTGTAGATTTTATTGCTATAGTCTATATTACCATTAACTATAAACCTTATAAGGAAAAATATTGAAGTGAAATTGATTACAAATAATATCAAATTTAGCTAAAAAAATGTCTTAAGTTCCTTTGATAGAACGATGAAAGATATTCTAAAAAAAAATGTATTTAAGTTTAATCCTTATATTTTTAAGATTAATATCAAAGTGAAGTTGTTTCAGTGCAATTAATAATATAAAGTTCGAATTTTGAATATGCAAAATGTTTTAATTTTGTTATTCATAATCATCAAGTTGAGTGTAGTTAGGATTTGCTTTTAATGGAATACAGAAAGTTTATGGTAAAACAAGATCTTCTGATATTTCTTTTTGTTACTTTACTTTTTAAGGTGTTGGCTCTATAAGGGTAGTAGAATATGAAAGGTTCTTTCGAAGGCCATAATGTTTTATGCCCATTAAAGTTAGACCATTTGGGTGAAAATTTTGTGATGAAAGTTGTGATTTTGGGCAGCAGTGTTGGAATCAGGTTACTATTGGGGAAGAGAAGCAGTGGATCCAGAGCCGGGGCGGTGCCGGAGGACCGATGGGAAGAAGTGGCGGTGCTCGAGGGAGGCGGTGGAGGGTCAGAAGTACTGCGAGCGGCACATGCATCGTGGCAGAAACCGTTCAAGAAAGCCTGTGGAACAACCCCGTGCATCTTCTTCTTCACCCTCTTCCTTCGAAAATCATAACCTTCACCTCCATCAGAGGTATGTCTTTCTATCGTGAACTTTGTTGGTTTTCTATTTGAGTTTGATGTTGAACCCTGGAACAGTTTGTCAATTGGTCAACCACCATAGCTTAGAAAAGGGTTGCTACTTGATAGTGCAACCAATGAGCTAGCGCTGATTTGGTGGCACATCCTATTAATCTCTCGTTATATTTGTGATTTAAGAATATAAAAAATAGAAACAAATTTATATTTTCATATTTATGAATTTGATTCATGATTAAAAAAAAAGCCAAAGAGAAATGGCATAACTCCCAATTTTTCTTTTATACTTACAATTTTAACTTCCAATTTAATAATTATTAAATATATTTATTTTAATATTTGTACGTTGATTTCAATTTTTTAAATATTAAAATAAATAATTAAATATATCAAATAAAAAATATTTGATTATTTTTTATAATTTTTTTATTTATTAATAATATATTATTTAATATTCTAAAATCATTAGGCGAAATCCTTTATCAAAATCCGTTGCCCATGTAGATTTAATTACTTTTTCAAATATTTGATCATATTTTTAATATTAGAAATTTCAAAATGTATATTTTTTCGAAGTACCTAATTCATTGTTTGACCGAAAGTGAAGGTATTAAAAACACAATTTATTTAATTTTGAAGTAACGGTTCTAGAGAAGTATATACAATCTATGATTTACCAAATATCTTTTCAACAATCATCTTTACATTTTTATATTATTATTTATTTATTCTACTTTAAACTGTTTTCCATCAGTCAAGAAAAAAATTATTATTTTAAAATGTTAGTAAGATATTTGTAAAATTTGCAGTATCAATTCATAGAATTAGATAAAAGATTGTACTTCATTCAAACCTTATAACATGAAACCGTAATTTTCTGATTTTTATTTTTTTATTTGGATTGGGAAAGTAAAGCTTAACTTCTCATTTCATTTAATGGTTGTGGTTCTTAATAGAGAGAATCGAACCATTTTGTCACTTATACAAAAGAACATATTAATTATTTTCTAAAATAATACCTAAGAAATAAGTATACAAATATTTATAGCTATAATATGTCTAAACCCTATTCCCTAAATCTTAATTGTATAAGATATTTAAATAGGAACAGTTAGTAGGATGGAAAGATAGGAATTAATTGACATCCAAAAACTTGAGATTGAAAATGACTTCCTATTGGGTAAAAAATCAACCGTTATATGTGATATGCATAATTGGTAGGGAACACTGATGAGGAGGATCTAGCTGTTATGTGAATGCATACTTTGAAAAGGGTAAAGCTTTATTGTGCATAAGTAGGCCCCAAAAGTTCTTGTTAGACCAAATTTAGGAACAATGTTACTCTTGTTTGCCGTAGCCACATATTTTTTGTTCCTTCTTCGTGCAATGCCCTTTCTTGATAACTAAGCTGTTTATTACCCGTTTCCCTGTAGTTCCTCTGGGAGAAAGGGTGACAACAAGAGGTTGTCTGAAAACCTTGATCATGTGGATGGGGATGACAGATCTGGTGGCCATGTCCTTAGGCATTTCTTTGATGATTGGCCAAAGACACAGGAAGAGCCTGACCGTGGTGAAACCAATGGTAGCCAGAACAACAACGCTGAAACATGTCTTTCTATGTCAACACCAGGAATCACTTCCTCGGATGTATCATTGAAACTGTCCGCTGGTCATGCTCAGGATACATGCCACGTGGCTTCATTGGGAGGACCACTTGCAGAGGCATTGAGATCATCCACGTCCTCGTCTTCACCAACCAGTGTTCTGCTACAGTTGCCAACTAGTTCTGCTTGTGAGACCAGCTTTATTAGCATTTAAGAGTTGTAGGTGTACTTTTGGAGAATTCTTGGATATATGTATGTGACAAAGACACAGACCCTTAAAACTTTGGTGTAACGTCCGACTATGGAGCTCAGTTTGAATACTCCCAGCTGAGTGAAAATAAAAGCTAGTAAACATGCACAAATTTTCGGACGAGTTATGAGAATCACAGTGTACGTGATGTGTTCAGCAATCTATTGAAGCTATTGAAGTTTAATATCAAGGTCTACATTGAGAAAAAAAATTATTAGTACTTTTAGGAAAAAAAAAATTAATCATCGGCATCAAGTCCTCACATGTTATCATCCATAGATGAGAAATAATAATCAATTAATGTTAGGATAACGTTAAATTAAGGAATAATATTAGAGGCAAGCAAAATATATGAGACTCTCCTAAATCTTTACCAAGTGCTGAAGGACCTGATCAAATTCTTGCATCCCCTGGTTAAACAAAGCAGAAGGTAAATTATCGGACATTTTAATTATTTCCTTCTCAATTTGAATGGTGGATATAACTCTATGATGAGAAAATCACTTATCTAAGTACAAAAAAAAAAAGAGGGAAGGGGAGACAGGCACAAAATAATAAACAACAAAAATTGAAGACTAGTCAAGGGGTTGGATGTGAGCTACTAGAAAAGGAGAAGCAAAATAAGAAATGAAGAAAAAAAAGAAAGCAAAGATGGAAGAGGGGAGGGGCAAAAGGTGGAAGGTGACATGCTACTTGGGAGATGGACTAACCGAAAATAATAGTAATTGTTGTCACTTGAACTAAAATTTAAGATAAGATTAAAAGTGTGAAAAACATTTAAGAGAATACTTATCAAATTTTCATTCAAATTTTAATAATTTAAAAGAGGTGGAGAGCCTTTTACATGTAGACATGGGTGAGGGAATTAAAAACAATTACACTAGGGATTCTAGAAAGTACATATTGCCTTAATTTTAACCTAGAAGGAATGACTCCCTTGCCTTGTCGTCCAAGGTCATGACCTTTCTCATCTTGAAGGTCAAGGGTTGACCTTCTCTTCCCTTATGGGTCGTCCATGTTTCAAAGGCTTAGGTCTAAAACTCATTCCCTCCAAAGAAGGTGGTGGACTTCAATAGAAGGGTGTCATTAAGTAATCCTACAAAATCAAGATTAAAATGAGTTTAGGAAATTTAAGGGAAGAAAAAGTATTAAATAAAATAGGAGGAGACTTCCCTTATAGTCATGCTTCTGGTGATCTCTTACGGATTCTCAAGGTAACCTAGGGACTCATTAATGATTATGATTTTAATTAAAATTGTAGTTACCGATCTACTAGCAAAGTTGCAGGTAATCTAAGACATTTGAGCCTACGATTACAAGTGCAATATTGTACTGAAAATCTTGTATCTGCAATTAAAAATATAACTTTTATATAGTAATTTGAATAGTATTAAAAAAATTATTTTGCAAACAAATAAGTAAGGAATGCAATATGTAAAATAAATGAGTTAAGAAGATAAGAATGTTGGATGTATGCTAGTTTACCTAATCATGGATTACATCACTTTTGTTAAGAATATTCAAAATTCTTTACCATAATCAACAACATTATTTCAAGTACCTCAAGTTACACATGAGTACATTAAGTCATTCCTAAGTATAGATGAGTATATCAAGTCAATCTTGATTATAGACATGTATATCAAATATTATTTGGTTGTCACTATTGATTACAAGAATGATTGTATAGTTGTTAATGGTAAAATACAAATGTGTCGAAAGGAATGAATCGATAAATGGGAAGAATTGTTAAAAGACTGTATTGATAATTAGAGATATTAAGGAGTTGATGATCAATATTAATTAAAGGGAGTTGTAAAGAAAAAGATAAACTTAACATAATTTATTAGATTGAATGGATCGAGGTACATGTTATGAATAATTGGGAAGTGCTCAAAGGAACATGTCATCAAAAAGGGGTTGAGATATATATTGAGAAATAAAGTGGCATGGTTTGATTAGTCGAACATTGAAAGTTGAAGACATCGAAGATAGTGGTGCAAATCGACAAAGATAGGATATAGAGAGGGAGTAATGCAATCGAGAGATATGCAGAGACAATTATTATCTCATTATGACATGCGCACTAACAAGTGGTATGTGACGACAACGTGGGTCGAAGAAAGGAAGGACAGTTATAATAAAGTAACCGTTCGTGGATGTCGCCGCCGTCCCCTATGGGGAATAAAAAATACGAGTGGTCGTGATGCGATGACTGGAACTCGCGTTTTCGTAAAATAATTTGGTCATCATTTTTAGGATGCTCAATAACCGAACTAACCTTAAAAGTTAGGTTTTCACAAAAGTGGGTTCTATGGAGTCACCACCAATGTTTTAACCAGAAACATTGAAAAAGGAAAGAAAAAGACGTTGGTTTAAAAAAAACCAACTTTGGCCATTATAACCAGAGTCAGGTAAGGTAGTTAGTTACGTGTGAGGAAGGTATTAACACCTCATAGCGCCCCTTTCAGGTCCCCTATGATGGATTAATTCAGAAAATAAAGATTTTTAGAAATTATGCTTTTACCCTATTTATTTATTTGCAATATTTATTTAAATATCTACATGACCCTAATTTCTAATGCACACGAAGGAAAACAATAAAAGATTAAGGGATTGAGAAGAACCTCCGAAGCGAACTTTTATAAATCTTTAAAATTGAGGACGCTTTTTGGCAGTCTCCTCCCACTACATGAGCACTCCTCCCTCGAATAAATAAATCTTAAACTACCGAGAGCCAGATGTCTCAAAGGAGACTTCCTTAACCGATTTTTGCCTAAATGGGCAATCGAAAAGATCACTCGGTGTGTAAAGGTATTTAGAAGTGTCTGAGAGTCTCTGAATGTGTGAGAATGTTTGTAAGAGTGTGAAAAACCGTGAGGACTGACATCTTATTTATAGGCATGCTCATCAAGAAAATCAGGACGATCGTCCCAAGTTTTGTCAGGCGGGACGACCATTTGGGATTTGGGACGACCGTCCTAGGCCACTAAGGAGGGTGGGACGACCGTCTGGGATTTGGGACAGTCGTCCCAGGCCACCAAGGAGGATGGGACGACCATCTTGGATTTAGGATGGCCATCCTGGATCTTTTGACAAAATTTGATTTTTTTTATTTCTTACTTTCTCTAAGAAAACTCTCATTTTTTTACATGGAGCCTAGTGAACACTACTAGGGGCCTGATGAAGCCTTGTTGAGGATTTATGAAATTTGTTGTAAGGTCGGGTAAGATTTGGGGTCTACAGCTGCCCCCCTTCACCTGACCGACCGGTTGTTGGTGAATGTGGCGTAAGACCGGTTGGCGGGTGAAGGAGTTAACCATTTTGCCCGATCGTCCTTCAGATGCTCCTTTAATGCGATAGCTAACCCTCCAGACGATTAATGTGAATGTCTTCGTGTTTTCTTCAAGGTTGTCCACAGGATATTCCCTTCAATCCTGTAGTGATAAGTATTGTAGACCCTTAATCTTGGCCGACCTAGCAATAAAGTCAGAAATCCTCCATTTGAAGATGGACAAGGCTTCATTAGGCCCCTAGGCATGTTCACTAGGCTCCATGCAAGCATAGGAGGGCTTTCTGTACGTGAAAAATATAAGAAAATAGAAAAACGCTGACAGGGAGCTTGAGACGGCCGTCTCGTTTGGCCAGACGGCCGTCTCGCTTTCCTTTGAGGTCGAGACAAGCGTCTCGTTTTCCCTGATGCACGTCTCATCTTCTTCTAAGGTCGAGATGACCGTCTCGTTTTTTTAGACGCACGTCTCGCTTTTCCTTGAGGGCAAGATGACCGTCTCGAAATCCCAGATGGTCGTCTCACCTATCAGAAAGACAAACAGCCGTCTCGGCTTAACTGGCATGATTTCCTATAAATAGGAGCCTCCCCTCCCCCATTTTCACACACTCTCACACCCTTCTCTCATCCCAGAAGCTCTCCTAAGACTTTGGGATAACTCTGAGCACTTTCCAGAATTTGAGTAAGCTTTTCGATTTCCGTTTAAAGTAGAAATCGGTTAAGGAAGTCTTCTTTTGAGACATCTAGCTCTCGATAGAAGGGTAATTTCTATTTTGTTGGTGAGGAGCGTGCTTGTAGAGTGAGGGGATTGTCAAAAAGCGTCCTCAAGTTTGAAGATTTAATAGAAAGCTCGCTTCGGAGGTTCCTTTCTTTACTCTCTCTCTTTTACTGCTTTCTTTTACTTTTTTCCTTGTATGCATTAGATACCAGGGTCATGTAGACATTTAATTTTTGCAAGTAGATAAATAAATAGGGTAAAAACATAGTTTCTTTCAGTCTTTATTTTATGAATTAGTCCATCATAGGGAACCCGAAAGGAGCATTGTGGGGTGCCTAACACCTTCCTCACACGTAACTAACTCCCTTACCCAACTCTGGTTGTAGCGGCCAAAGTTCTTTTTTCTAAACCAACGCCTTTTATAAAATCTTGAAATTATGCTTTTACCCTTCCTTGTATTTACAACATGTTTTATTCTATGGCTTTAATAACTTTTGTATGTTTATCTTCTGTAATTGTTTGAAATAACAACTGTACACAACCTTTGCACACAACAGTTCTCTCTATACCCGGGGGCATGTGGGATAACCTTAGGGAGTGGGTGACAAGTATGATTTGTCGGAGTGATGGCCTTGAGCCCACCGGTATGGTCGAAAACCCTATAATGGGGCACCTTGGGGGCCTGACCTTGGTGAGGATAATTAGAACCACCTTGAAAACACACTTTTCTGCAAGATACCCCTATCTCGTAATAAAAACGTTATCACTCTGTTCGCAGATGAGTGAATTGTTTGTGCATTTGTTTGTTTCATTTGTTTGTTGCATAGCATAATCATACAACAACAAATAAAACAACAAAAATAACATTATACAAATAAAATAGCATCATAAAAACCCTTTTGTAATAAATAACCTTATCTCGAACAATCTACATTTTAGCTAGCTTGGTTTCAAGTT